CTCCCTCAGTCCTCACACTGCTGCCATTCTGGTCCACAGCCTCGTCACGTCTCAGAACTCAGTTGCCCGCATTATAACAGGAACTCCCTCTATCCCACACATCACCCCTGTTCTCCGACAGCTCCACTGGCTCCGGATTCAATACAAAATTCTTATGGTCACATTCAAGACCCTTCACCACCTTGACCCCACATTTCTGTCAGGCTTCCTGTATGGTCCAACCCCCTCCCATGCTTTCAGATCCTCACCGGCTTTATACATGTCTGCAGAGGTGTCAAGTAACGCAGTACAAATACTTTGTTACTGTACTTAGGTACACTTTTTATATATCTATACTTTACTCCATTACTTATTTTTCTTCTTATTTCTGACTTCTACTCATTACATTTTCACACAAGTATCTGTACTTTCTACAGTATCCCATACATTTTTAAAACAAACTTGTTACTCTTGGCCTCAGTTTTATGTTTATAAGTGGCGTTGGATGTAGGAGTTTGCCCTGAAATCAAAGGATTGATGGTTCAAGCCCCGACTCCGGCTTTCAGTGTCGTGTCCTTGGGCAAGACACTTCACCTGCATTGTCTACTGATGGTGGTCAGAGGGCCAGTGTATGGCAGCCCCGCTTCTGTCAGTGAGCCCCAGGGCAGCTGTGGCTACAATGTAGCTTGCCACCATCAGTGTGTGAGTGTGTGCGTGAATGAATGGGTGAATGAATGTAGTGTAAAGCGCTTTGGTCAAGTCTCCTGACTTAAATAAAGGCGCTATATAAGTACATGACATTTACCATTATTTTGCGACATGTGGTCCATCCAATGCAGATCAGTGGCTCCATCCACATCTAGTGAAAACTAGTGTAATTGGATGCGTTAACGCAAACACTCATTGGTTAGCTATTCCTCAAATTTATGCTGACGCCAAAGGAAATCATCAGAAGCAATCTGGTTGCATCTGGCTGTTTTTTTTTTAAAGGTTGCTTTATACTTTAAGTAGTTTTTGGAGCACATACTTTTACACTTGAGTAAAGAGGTCAAGTTGATACATCAACTTTTATCTGAGTGTTTTTAAACTGCAGTATCTATACTTCTACTTTAGTAACAAATGTGTGTTCTTTTGACACCACTTCCTGT